ACTTGATGCCAGGGAAAGTGGAGTTCCTCAGCTTAAATAGATGTTGAGCAAAGAAGTGTCTCTTTTTAAGATGAGCATTTAAAATGTTTTCTTTAATGACTATTGAGGGTTGTTGCAGTTTTAGAACTAAGTACATACCCCAAGATCCTCTTCCTGAAATGGTGTTGTGTCCAAAAACTCTCCCTACCTGCTCCAAAATGATGTTCAGAGCTCTGCTGCCAGTTGGGTTTCACTCCATTACTCTCAGCTGTGCTTGCTACAAGCGTTTAAGTATAATTTATTCTTTCTATTTAAGGATGCAAAGGTTTCATTAGAAAGGGTCTGCGAGTGTGGTGACTGCCTTTGGTAACCTGTGATGTAGGATGAGCATCGGTTGTTTGAGGACTTCCCCTGTGACAACATTGGGCTTATGTGGTTTCTTCCTCTGTTTCCTATAGGTTCATGAAAGTGGCTGGCAGCACGGTGGATGCTGTTACCTGGCAACAGTAGGTATTCACCATTTCTTCTACTTTCCAACACTAATTGCTGTGATCTGACCATGCTGGGAGCAGAGCTGATGCGCTGTCTGGGTGTGAAAGGGGGCAGAGGGGTGACAGCATCTCCTCTGTCCTCCTGCTGCATTTTAAATAGGTGAAAGAGGCTCCGTCCCTCCCTCAGGAGCCTCTTGAACAAATACGGGAGGGCTTGTATTAACCTTTACCACTGCAGCTGAGACAGAGGCTAAAAATACCACTGCCTGCAAGCCTGGCCTGCCTGATTGCTGGAAGCAAAGCCCTGTGCTGGGCAGCCGGGAGGACAGGCAGCTCTGGTGGTGGCCAGGGTGGGGACGACAGGGAAGCAAAAGCCACGTGTGACAGATGCCTGGGACCATCTGAAAGCCCTTTTCCTTTCAGCCTGCTCACTGCCTCCCCGTGACCGCTGGCCTGAAGCTAAGCTGGTTTGGCCCGGAGGAGGGGGAGGCAGCTTAGCCCAACGGTAAATGCGTAATGCCCCGGTCCCCGCTCTGTTTTGTAAGGGTCTGGGATGTCTGTAGGCACGCCGCTGTCCTGCACTGCAGATGGAGCCCCAGGAGCAAATGTCGATGGAAAGGGCGTAACATCCAAGATCCAGGCCCAGCTGGGGCTGCCAGAGAGAAGCTGATACCCGATTTTCCCCTGCTTCCTACATGTGCTGCAGCTCGGAAGAGGCAAAGCAGGCTCTGAGCTGTATCACGGAGTGTGACAAGCACCAGGTAGAGGGAAAGGATTTCTTATTTGGGGGAAAATCCATAAATGTCTTTTTCCCCCTCTTATTTGCCCCTGCCTCAGTTTGCACACTGTGGCCAGAGGTAGGGTCCCCAGCAGGCTGTGACACAGCAGTGGGAGCACAAATGCCAGTGCAAAGGTGAGGTAGCGTGCAAGCACAGCAGCGACCACTAAAATCGGTAGAAAAAGGGTTTGTGGGGCAGGCAGGATTCTCTCCTGTCACAGAAAGGACACATTTCAGAGACAGGCATTCACTGGAGCAAAAACCACGGTGAGACACCCTCTGTTCCCAGAAAAAGCGGATTTGCTCTGACGCTGGGTTAAACTTTGCAAGCGGGGTGCTGGCCTTGAGCACAGGGTCTCGGGTCCAAGGTGGGCTTGTGTGTGCCACCCACGGGGCTTGCTCCCCAAGCTAGTCCTTCTCAGCGACCCTTCATGGGGTGCCCAGGTTGCTTTGCTAAAGCGTAGCAGCATGGTTTGTAAAGCCCATCTTTTGTAAAGCCCCCCTGGAGACGTGCTCTTAAAAAGAGCTCAGCAGGTTTTAAGACATGAGGTTTTCTGGTGAGTGCGCCCAGGGTCTCTGTGTTGGTGTGTTAACCTTGGAGCCTCCTGCAGCAGCAGCTGTTGGCGTCTCAGAGTGGTTTATAGCACCAGCATCCAGCAAGTCCTCAGGGAGCTTAGCTTGCCTCTCTGTGCCGGTGTCGCTTGCTTGGCTGTTTGGCTCCTGGGGCTTCCCAGCCAGGCAGCAGCAGCGTGGTGCAATGGGGGCAGCGGGGTAGCGGAGCATTTGGAGCGAGATTTGTGTTACTTACAGGCTCATGCTGTGCAATGATGATCTACGTCTCAGCTGGGAGTTTGCTTTTCATGATTACACGATGTGCTGATCACATTTACTTAGTCCAGGAATTTGCTTTCTGCAATGGGACTTGATCCCTTGGCTGAGCCCTTGGAGTAGATGAAGGAACAAACTTCCAGACTTCAAACATGGAGTGTCATCCTGGTGTGCAGGGAATCTGCCCGGACGCCTGCTTTGAACCCTCTTCTTATGGGATTAGTGCAAAGTGCTCGGCAGCTCTGGTGCTGGGCGGCCGCGCTGAAGCAGCAGCATGCGGGATGCTGCTTGCTGACCCATTTCCACTGCGGCGCAGGAGCCGCTTCTCCCCCAGCCTGGGTTTGCAGCTCTGGAGATTGCACCCGTATGCATTTGCGAGGACTGGCAATGGCCACAGCTCCGAGCTGGGCTTCTGTACTGTTTATGAATAAATGTCAAAACAGTGTCTCATCCCTCTGCTCCAAACAGCAAAACAAAACAAAACAAGTTCCTTTGTATCCAAGAAGAAAATTATTAGCAGGAAACTAAACTGCTGTCTAACTTCAAGTATGAACATTTCTGTTCCAAACCCTAACGTTCTCCCGGGATATCGGTTATAAATTTGTCAAATCTGTTATTCCTTTGAAAAGGCTATGCTTAATCCAGAAAGGGAATTGAGAAGGGAATACATTGCAGGGATCCCTATTCTCTGTGTGAAAACAGAATATGTCTGAAATATAGCTGACAGAAAAGTGACACTGGGTGGAAATAAGCAGCCTCGCCAGCCTTTCTGAGTATGGTTTCACTTACATATGTAACTCAGCATGTGTGCCTCCCTCTTCAGAAGTAATGTGTTGCTGGAGAGGGATGTGTGAATGGCTTCGAAACACTCAGGGAATTTCCACTAAAGGAGGGCGTGGCAGGTGGGACTGACAGTGGCTCTGAGAGTTTTGGCATTTCCCTGATAATCTAGTTTGTTATCTTTGGTTATGAGTCAATGCTCGTTTTTTTGCTGACCCCCTCGGTCTTTGGATGCAGGTTTCCACTGCTCAGAGCCCTTCCCGCAGCCGTCTCTCTGCTCGGCACTGGCATCCTCGTGCGTGGGTCGCTTGAACCTGCAGCCATGCCCGGTCCCGTCCTCAGACGTGCTCTCTCCGTCTGTACAGCTGGTTTTCCATCCAAAGTGTTGTGCGAAACTCCAAGTTACAAACCTCTGTTACTTACAGGGAAAGTAAATGTTTGCATCTTCAAAGCCAGTGGACATCCATCCTTTTGCCTCACTGGAGAACGCAACGCTGTCTTCCAAGATGGAAAGTCACCTGTCCTATGTGGCAATCAGCCATGCCAGGCACACGGGCATGCGGGGCATGCTGCTTAAAATGCTTTTGCTGGGCTTGGTTTGAGTGACATCACTTCTGGCTTAGACACGTCGAGTGTGCAGGTGGAGGAGGCAGTAGCTATAGCAGGGGGGAGATTTGCCATAGGTGCCAGGGGAGGGTTGCCCAGCGTGCATACACACACTGATGTATATATGAGGGTATATGTTTGGGTTTGCACGAGCCTGCTGTGAGTGCTTAGAGCGTGGTGTCTTCTGAGGTTGTACCTGGAGGAAGGAATCACTGGCCCACCTCCACCTGTAAACAAACCTGGTCAGGGCACAGCTTTGCCCACTGGCTTGCCATCCTCTGCGCTGTCCGATGGAGAGCACGGTCCTTGGCAGCGTCGTGACCCTTGCCACCAGCATGGTCCCAGGCAATGCCTGGGCATGGCTGGGGAGATGGCATGGGCCAGAGATGTCTCCCACTGGTGGGACAGACAGAGGCACCTCGTCTGGGGGCAGTGGCATGGGTGTGAGTTGTGCCTTTAGGTCCAGAGAACAGTCCCTTGTCATTCTCATTTATTAGTGCATTTATTAGTTGACTGGAGGTGCGCAGCACTTCTCCTCTGTGCCCGCAGGTCTTTACCTGGGGGGAGCAGTGGGGCTGCCCTGTGTCCTGCGCTGCAGCCAGGGATCAGGGGAAGATGCTCAGGGATCGGGGCCGCCTCAGTCGGCAGAGGTGTCTCGGTTTCACAGCTGTGGTGGCAGCGGGGTGTCACGCTGACGGCGGGGATCTGCCCCGCGTGGTGTCCCCAGCAGGCGGGTGCCCTAATTCCTAGCAGACTCTCCCCGTAGCAGCAGGCAACAAAGTAGATCCGGAAATTCCTGAGCTTTGGGAAGTGGGCTTTAATGTAATTAACTGCAACAGAAGAAGAGGTCAGATAATAGGGGCAAAGGTTTCTCTTTAAAATGAAAGGGAGGTAAATGAAACCAGCTGCCCAGGAGCCAGTGCACTGCCTTCATTAACTATAGGATGATGCTCATGGTCCCACGCAGCAAATTGTGGATCTTTCCAATAAAACACTTTAAAGGCAGCACAAGACCCAGAGGTGGCAGAGTAGGGATGTGCAGCCAGCCCCAGGTTGGCCCAAGAGCATTGCCCTTCCCCGGGCGGCACCGGTGAGCTGCGTGCATCCTGGCCTTGCAGCCTGCCC